TAGTTAGCAAGTTCCTTAATTACTTTTGCTATATAGTTAGCAAGTTGCTTAATAATTTTTGCTATATAGTTAGCAAGTTGCTTAATTACTTTTGCTATATAGTTAGCAAGTTGCTTAACTACTTTTTTATTCTACAAATAGCTCATTGTAAAAACTTTGTGTCTCGTCAATCACATTGAATATAATTAAAAACTGAGACACAGATTCATATGAAAGATTTGGATATTACTTATTACGAAAAAGTTGGTAAAATATTATCGTCAACTGAATCTATAAATTCAGTGGAAGTATTATTACCTTATAATTAAAAATATCGAGCACAACATGAACATTATGTATATAATATACACACATCACTTTTTATTTTTATGGCTCCATCAATATGAGAACTGATGATTTTGCCAATGTCACAGTTGAAAGAAAAAAAAACGAAACAAAAAAAATTTTCGCTAAGCTCTAATAGGACATTAACCGGTGTTGGTAAGTTGGACTACGGGAGTACTCAGTTGAGAATGTAAAACAAAACAGCAAAACAATATTTCAAAATACACAAAAATGAATTCGAAGTGATAATTTTTTTACCTTTGAAATACATCTCAGTATCATGTTTAACCTGATTTATTTATTAGTTTTTTTATTTATTTAGTTTTTTTTTATTAATACCGTTTAAAAAGACAATAGTGCTTATTACATAAAAAATATTGACATAACGTGTTCTGATGGGTTCCCCTCCTTATTAAATAGGTACTCACACACTTCTATCAAATAATATCAGTTAAGAACCTTAACTGATATTGCCCTGTGATCCTGACCCTGTGATTTATGCCATAGCCCTAGTAAAAATGTAGTCATTTATGGCGTACACAGACATTTTGTAAATTTTTTCTTACATCTAAATTTTATATTTCAATACATACATATAATTCACGCCTTTATATACTTCATTGGCATGACTTTATTTTTATTTCATAATATCAAGTGACGGGATGAACAAGGCGTGTGCCTTGTCGTAAGCTGCACGCCTGGCCATAACAGTGCAGTGCCACTCAGAGCTTTAAATCGCAAAGATCAGAGGGACACTGCCACTGCGCCTGTCACCCTGAGACATAAGTTGACAAGTCCCTTGTGCCTGTAATTTCACCAGCACCCTTACCCTTCAAGACCGGAACGCAGTAATGCTCAATTACTGCGTGGCGGCTGAAATAGGTGGCAGTACTTTACTGGACCAACTCTTTCACAAGGAGCTCTACTGCTAGTAAAACAACGCAAGTGACGTTTTCATATTATGACTTGTGGCGAGATATTACTAGGTTTGTTCTAATATCTGCACTTACAAACTAAAACACCAAACAGTCCTACCTCCTCCTCATGTTTCATTGTAATAGTTGGATGAACATGCCTTATGCCTGGCGAATTGCATTATTAATTTTTATGTGACGAAGCCTGTTCATTTATATTTGTGTCTTCCTGGCGAAGCCTACGTTGCGGTTTGACATAAGTAGTCAATTTAGTTTTTGAATGAATTTAATTGTATTGTAGTAAAAAATTTTTCCTTGACCGATTGTAAACATTGTAAGAAATTGTTTTATTACGTAATAAAAGCTTATTTGAGTTAAAAAAAAAACTTAAGCACCTGGGAAACGTTTACTTTTGTAAAATAAGTTTTCCACAATTTTTTAACACGATCGTCGCCGGCTTTAATTTAAAAAAAATTTCGATAAATGACATTGGGTTATATGATTGTTTTTGGTCTCATTTGCATATAAGTTTTTCGCGATATTTCATTATTTGGCTTCATTTTGGGATACTTTTAGTGCTGGTCAGTATGTAATTATTAAGTTTAATTTGAAATTAAAGTCAGTATTTTTAATTCGACTTTTTTTATACCCCAGAACTTATATGTTACTTTGTATGTAATGAGCAAAGAATTTAAACATTTCTCTTGGACGCCGGTTCTTCATTGTGCTGTTCTGGTTTTCTTTTTCTGTCGAACTCATGCGCATAGTCAACACCTAGCGAATAAGCGTTTTGTTTACGGAGGTCAAAACGTTCCCTCCTTAATATAGCTTCGCTCGCCTTATTCAAATAGTCGGCTTCTTCCTCACCTTCAAGAAGCCTAAATGATACTGTTGTGTTGCGTATTTGGAGAGTTCCGTTTTTTAACTTGTTGTACACTGCTACAGCTGCATTTTGCACTTTGTAACGCACCCAGCCATGGGTGCTGCCGTTTGCATGATCTATGTATGCGACGACACCGCCTATAAAAGACACATCGTGTAAACTCCATATTTAATTTGCAGTAACTTTGTACAGCAATATTTTTAATGCATACACTTACCTAGAGTTGCCATTGCCAACTGAATATGATCCCTCGTTATTTGACCTGCTTCTTTAGTGAAATACAATACACTGCCTGTAGGCAGATACAACTTTGGTACCTTGCAAGGAGTCTGAAAAGTGACATTTAAAAAATGCATGTAATTAATAGCTTTACCGACGAGTATTCAAACAGAGGAAGAATGCCAAACCCAACAAAATGGCAGCTGTGACATAATGAAAACGACAACTGCCTGCGAGTGGGCACTAAGACTGGTTAAGTTAAAGACTTGATTTCAAAAGTTTCTTATTATTATTCTAAGGTTAGAACGTAGAGTTAAACAATAAAACCTATTTAAAATGTACCTATGACATATCGATTTTGAGTCTGTAAAAACATTTATTTAGTTTTTGTTACTTACGACAGGTTTATTCTTATCAACAGTCTTCGCCGCGAAGTAGTCCTCTTCCCAGAGGACTGTCAATCTGTTCTTGCCATACACAAGGTTGTTATAAACCATACACATTCTTGCCTGGAATATTGTTAAAATTATTATATCAAACAAAATTAGGTATACTAATTAAGTTTTTAAATTTTATTAATCTTAACAAGTTCAGACTTGTAGACTTGAGCGTTTAATGTCAAAAATGTTTCGATATGTTGCTAATTATAACTAAACGAAATGTAAATCTTATTTAACCACTAAACTAATGTTGTAGTGCCATTATATTCATTTACTACAAGTAAATTTACAATTATGAGTAATTAATAAATATTAAGTTAAAGACAGTGTACACGATACTCACATCGTCTCTATCTTTGAAAGTAGCAAATATAGATCCCTTAAAGGATAATTGTTTAGTAGACTCGTCTACGCAATATCTCATGATAACCATATCCATCTCTGCAAATTCATTGAAGTACTTTAACAGGTCATCGAGTTTTGTATTCAGTGGGAAGCCTTTAATATAAAGTGTACGCTCTTTTATTTCCTTGCGACGTTCAGGAGTTATCGGCTGGACAGGCATTTTGGGACTTCTGCGAATTTTCTGGTTGTCGTCTGACACCTGTTAAAAATTAGTTTTTACTCAATTATCAGAAATATATAGTCGCAATAATCAAGATGCAACATAAGGAATGATACTATAATAGATATTAAACTAATTAAAGAAGTGAATATTTCAAGACATTCACGAAATGATTATCAAGTTACCTTTCACATTTTCCTAAAAATTTGATTAGGGAAAAATAACGGATTTGCTAAAACGCCTGTGCGGTTTTTGCCACTAGTTAACTTTAAACAAATAAAAAACTTTTTTTATTTTAAAACGTTATATTGTCTATGGTCATTTTAAAAATAATATTTTAGCGCGTGTTTTAAGAATAGGCTATTGGAGAAAAATTTAAATCTAAGATGTGGCAGTATTGCTTAGAGGCCTTAGCCTATCCCGAAATACGAAAAATTTTAACTACTATTAAGAATAGGCGGGAAGTTTTAAGTTAGTAACTCATGAACAACGCCCACAAAAGCAAATCGCAAAGGTGTCGTATTTAATTATGACAAACCATAGACATATTCATAAAGCTGTGAACATTTTGCAGTTTGGGTAGGATGCCTTACCTCACCTACTGTATTCGTCTGACATGTCCCCTTTAGAGTTTCACTTGTTTCATTACGACCACTTGCACTGAACTTAAATATATCTTAAAGCAGTGCTTGTAATGCTATAGACACATTTAATACATTGGGTTATGAGTGTCATATCAATTTACAAGAATTTTTATGAAAGGGGAAATCTAAAATAACTAAGTGTTATAGATCAACATGACCTGTATGTAATTGATAAAAGTTTGATATAAATTTATCTTTAAAGTGTTTTTCATTTATACTTTGATACCGCACGGACTTTTTAGTCAACCCAATAGTAAAATGTCATATCGTGGTGAGAAACTTAATTAGTCATGATAAAGTAAAAAAGTGAACACTATAGGTACCTCTAGCATCTTAGAATTGGAATTCTTCACAGCATTGGCAACGAAGGCAATATCCTTGCTCAGGTTGGCCAAGCAATTGAACCGAATGAGCACAGCCAAGGGAACCCATCCATCCTCCAGCTCTATTTGCTCACGCATAAAATTGTCACGGTCGATGTTCATGTCACCTACACGAAAGCAAATACTCATTATTATTAATTTGCATTATTAATAATACACATTTAAAGTATATTTGACCAAAAATATTAAACAAAATTATGTATTTAATTCGTAAAAAGAATTCTACTTGATTTCAACATTTAATGACTATTAGCGGCCAGTTACATGACGCGAAAATTTTCGCGCGGCGACCGCACAGTTACCACGCTTTCATGTACATTAATGGTGAATCTGACTTCTGTTTACTAGGCAACAATATTTAAAATCCTTTGAATAATAATACCACGGTAGCCGCGCGGTCGCCAGGGGTGAGTGCGATGTTATTCGTGTCGCATAATTGCGCCCTTATTCTTATGCAGTTACTATTTTGAATAATGCTATGTGAAATTACGTTTCTTATGAGTATTAAATTAAATATTTTTTTGTTTTAAATATAATTTCGTTGATAACAACTTTAAAATTGAAATTTTATTTATAAAAATAAAATTTCATTTTTCATTTTAAGTAATTCAATTGACTCTAGAAAAAAAGGCTTTACGAGCGTTATCGCGAGATCCGCCATATTTGGTCCGAGTGCATACAATAATCTGATGTTTTGAAATTGTGATAAAAAAGAAAAATGTAAACATATGGTAGAAGGCTAATTACACATGGCGCCGTTGCGGTGTCATCCCGCAGTGCCAGAGGCGCGACTGCAGCTCATGCGGCATGTTAAAACTGAAATCGTACATTATATACAGTCGTGGCAGCGCTCGCCGCCGCGGTTCCAAGTAACGCCGCGCGCCGCGATATATGCATGAAAGTGTGAAAACAAATGCAAGGGCGACCACAACTGCGGCGGCGATGCCGCTGTTATTACGGCGCCGTGTGTGATCAGCCGAAGTCTTTATTGTGTTTTTTACAGAAATATTTTTTTTTATAGTGGGGCATGCAATGGTCCATTTCTTCAATAAAAGACAAACATTTCTTCGCTAAAGCTAAAAACAACTTGCAAATCGTTAAGAGGGAGCAGAGGAAAAATTCCCAATCTTCGATTTGATTTTAGAGGGGTATATCCACTTTAAAGTTAAAAATAAAATATTGTATGAGTAACTACACGATATATTCAAGCATAGACACTAATCAGAAGCATAAAACAATAAAGTTTCCTCGATAGATAAAAATCACGAAATGACCTCTAATTTTCACATTTTTTCGATTCAACCTCGAAATGCTACAGGTTATTAGGACAAAAATTAGATAATTATATTTATGCATGATCGAGAACTGTCACTACGGATTTTTTTTTAATCCCTTTAGTTTTAGAGTTATTCCGCTAAAAAGAATTTGGTACTTTTAATGCGCAAAATTCAACATCTCCTGTCGCATGTCACGCGAACTTCAGGCATATATTTGGTTCACAAATTTGGACGGAGCCAACGTCAAAACTTTTTTGGCATGCTCCCTCTTAAACCTCAGACATAAAAATAGACTGGCACTACCTAGCTCGAAGTTAAAGATGTGCAGTACCATTTGTAGCGGCTATTAAAATCTTTAATACAATCCCTAAAGAAATTTCATCACAAACGCAGTATAATTTATTTAACAACGCCGTAAATCAATTTTGACAAAAAATTTAATTATAGCCTGCCAGAGCTTTTTGATGAATTTTTTGGAATATAAATTGAAATTATTATTTTTATTACTAATTTTTTGATTTTATTTGTATTCAAGTTCTAAAAAAACGTTGTTTTTATATTTATTTTTAATTTACTATAAAATTTGATAGTGGCGCCCAAACAGGATCACGTTGTTACTATTTAAATTTTAAGATATCTATATAACACATGGGAGCAATAAATACTTTGACTTTGAGAACATGCTAAGTGCACGATGTTATAATTGCCAAAGTAACTGAAATGAGTACGCGTGAGATCACTATAAGCTCAGATATTTTACTTTCTCTTTATGCTACCAAGTGAAGTGACGAAGAAGTCGTACGCCTGCTGGAAAGTGACGCGCCTGTTCATAACAGATGCAATAGCACTCATAACTTCAAATCGCAAAGATATAAGGGACATTCCCACTGCGCCTGTCACCCTGAGACATAAGTTGACAAGTTTGTTTGTAATTTTATCAGCTTTTGATTTCATTCCATTTATTATTATAGTTTATATTGTACCTTATTATTAGCAGGTGTATCCAATTTTGTGTATGAGAGCGGTTATACACGGTGACATTTAGTTGCGATACAAACGCGCGACACTTGCGAGGCTTTTGCATCGATGAGACGATTTTGTGAGAAAAATCCGTAAAGTCTTCTCTTTTTTGAAGACGGAGTAAAATAACACTTGTAGGGTTGCCAGTTTTCATACAATTTTAAATAGTTATCTAGTTTTTATTGATAGATTATGAAAGAAGATAAAAATTTTGCCAAAAATGACTTCATTGTGAATGTTAAGTACTACGTTATAATGATTACTAATTGCGTTATTGCCTTCTTTATTCTTATTTTCACGGTTCGCCTACTTGTATCGAGATACATTTTTATACATATACATTTTGACAAGCATAGCCTTAAAGCAACTTTAAAATACGGCATCGCTTTGTATTTTTCATACACATATTTCTAAATACAGTGTATTTATGAGCTTAAAAAAATTGACATTACAAATGAACTTGTGCTCAGTAATTAAATGAATAATAATGGGCTGAGGATGATTGAAATGAAACAAGTTCAGCTATTTATTCCATAAGCGTGACCAATAGTTAGTCCATAGTCGATAGAATATTTATCAACTGCAACCACTAGCTGCTCGCAAGCGGGCAACACTTGTGCAATGAACTGCCATTGTACTCCGTCTTTAAAAAAGACAGGCTATAGATTTACGCACATTGTTTTGTTAATTGTAAGTTTTAAAGTGAAATAAATAATTTGAAAACATGCATCGCGTTTGCTGCACGATGGTATCGCTGCTTAATACGCGCGTGTGTGTAAAGGTAGACGATTAGCGCTGAATCGCTGCAGACGCGGTGCTAAAAAACGCCGTGTGTAACCGTTCTAAATTTTAGGAATGCGTCACATGTAATCATGCGTCACATACCATCATGCTCGTCGAATATCACCTACGCTTTTATGCATATAAGCCTTAGCTCTTGTTCTAAACGTTTTAATTCGTCATTTGCGTCGTATTCTGGATTGAGCTTTGGTTTTGTTTTGTTTCTGGTTAAGTAAATTAATGCGGTCACGCAAATACGCTTGCGCGCACGCACACACGCTTGTACGCCCGCAAATACGCTTGCACGCACGCACACGCTATGTACAATTTTTTTTATGTTATTTAAGCTAATAGGCTGGTTTCAGAGCATTGCGGATTTATTTGCGGACCGTCCGCGCGGAGCACCGGAACGGAGTAACACGTGAGACGTTAGAACAACGCTTTACAGTAACGCGGATTGCTTCGTACGAACTCCATCCACGCTTTTATTGTAGGCGACTGTCTTCCGTAAATATCCGCACTAAATTAAATACTCGATTCAGAGCACTGCGGATTCTACGCATGCGGATGGCCCACAGGCGGACAGTCCGTACAGACTGTACGCACAGCTATGAAACCAGCCTTATGTTGCTGGTTGAGTATTAGTAGCAGTTCTTTATAAGTAGCTTTTTTTAAATTACGAACAATTCAGGGGGCACGGATTTACACCCATGACCGTTTGCTTGAGAGGCGGCAGGTCAAACTGTTAGGATATCACGGCTGGTTAGACGCGGGTTCGAGTCAGATGAAGAATTTCGACCTTTGTTTCAATAATTTATGACGCAAAGTCGCGAGCATATTAAACTTGACTTTAAATTGTTCTTATCGCAAGCCTCGTAGAATTGAATTTCAGTCTTAAGACTTTATACTACCTCACCTTGAATTAAAAATTTTTTCCCGTACTAATACGGTTCATTTTACTTGGGTCGAGCGGCGTGGACGCTGGTTTTATTTCAGAATTATTTTTTTACTAACAAAATAATTGGTATATGTAAAATGCCTATTGATCGTGACAATTATTCGAAATCGCGTTTTGACACCATATGGTAAAGACTGTATGTCCTCAATTTTAGTATATATTTTCTCCAAAGTGATTGGTTCAACACTTCACTGTTATGCGCAATCAACCAAAGCCATTTCTGGTTGTATAGACCCTTTAAGTATTAAGCTCGACATGGTTCGCCCTCATTTTCCATCAAATGAGATTTTTAATTTTTTTACACATTACAAGTATTTATATATTTTTGAATAGTTTTCTGCAATTCGCCAAAATTCTAAACGACTTTCGCTTGAGCAACAACTTTCTATCTGTAACTGTCCATCTGGACCACTACGGTTCCACATCAGGAGGTTTTGCAAATCTCTACAGATTTAAAAAACTCCCAAAGTTTCAATCTTATACAATATTTAAAAAGTTTTATTTACACAAGAAAGAAAATAAAATTTATCAAAATCATCGAAATCATATATGGCTCAGGTTGAACTTACCGAAATAGAATTCCATTTGACGAACAACCGCTCTTTCGAGTATCGGTCTGCCTACATTAGGAATCTCCTGTACCCAATGAGGTCCAGCAAAAGCTTCTTGTTCAGTCATCGTGACTAAAATTCGAAAGTTACAAATATATGGAATTTTTTCCTTCCGTACCGGAATGTCGGCACGACGCTCCCCTGTAAGGGTCTCTATTGATTTATCTTTGTTCTGTCGAACGGCGTCCCGACGCCGGGTGTTCGCGTCGTTATTGATTGCCCTATCATTATAAAAGCGCAAGCAAAGGTGCGTAATCCATACAGCCTAGTCTGACACATTTTATTTATCGGTTACACTGATATGAATCTAATACTGCTGGAGTTTTTTCCTGTAAAACATGTGCAGATATATTGAAGTTTTTTTTAAACTTTTTAAATTTATTTAGGAACTTTTATATAATGTTTATTGTGAAATTGCATCGTATCCTAATTTATAACATACTCTGGGCTTTGCTCAAGGACATAGAAAAATTCGTAAGGTTCGTTCAGTAACTTAGTTGGCATGGCGTCTGGCATAGTTTGCTGAAAAACGTTGGTCCAAATCCAGCCGGATCGGTGGATTTTTTTCAAAATGTTCGATCTTTGTATTCATAATTATAAATAATATACTTTCCATATTGGAGTTGTTCAGTATATAATTGAAATGTTTTTATGTAGAAATATTTATAAAATAAATAAATAAACATCATAAAATTACAAAATAAATATTTATATAATATTTTATGTAGAAATCGCAAACAGACGCTAGACCAAGCACTGCGAAAGGTACCCTACTAGCGACCACTGTGTCCGCTACGAGAGTTTACGTGCATTTGATTTACACGCCACCGCGCCCGCCTTAGTGGCACTGCCACTGCGCCCGTCACCCTGAGATATAAGTTGACAAGTCTCATGTGACAGTAATTTCACCAGCACAGAAATAGGTATGGTGCTAGTATTTCCCTGGACGAACTCTTTACGACGAAGACCTCTACTGCTACTAGCTAAGCTAACTTAGCTGGCATAGTCGGTTGCATGCAACTACGTGAACTAAGCTGAGTAACTGCGTTCGCGCTGTGGCCTGCTCTTTATAAACGTGAACATAATTATATAATTGTACGGTACGTATTGTTGCATAACAGCAGCAGTAACATGACACATCTACTCCGGAATTCTCAACTGAATTAAACATAGGTGTACTTGGTCACACGAGCGTAGGTCCATCGCCCGAGAGTTCGGGCAATTCTTGACGAAAGCCATAATATACTCCCGGACACTTAAGTCGAGCCACCTCGCATTTTTGTCGTATGGGCTGGAATACAAAAACAGTGTTATCATCGAAGATAAAGTTTTCCCCCGATTTTACAAAACCAATCTCCCAACAAGGACTTATGGAAAAGACGTTAGTATACTAGTTTCAAAATCGCATAGTAGTTTTTGATCAATCAAACATTGTTTAAGCTTAGGGCACTTAGTACTGAAAATGCGTGGTGACTCAAATTATGTGTCCGGAAGTATATTTCCGTTGTACAACAAACCAACACTTCGGGCCCTTTAGGTCCCATTGTCACGGGTGACTGATGGGACCTATAAAGGGTCCGAAACGTTGGTTTGTTTGAAAAAACAAATTTACGCAATTTGGATAAAAAAAAATAGTTTAATTTCCTTTGTGTAACAATAGCGAAGTCAAAGTTCTTTGAATCATTTATTCCATCGGTAAAATAAATTTTCACTTGAAAACGTCACATTTAAGCTACTGTTCGTTAACTACGCTGACTTCCCTGAGAAGAACGAGCAAGAAATTCTAGGGATTGCTCTTTTCATATATATCAATGCTATGGAATACACTTTGAACCATAATTGTGTGGAATCTAGACTCATGTTGTCGTTCCATACATCTTTATCTACACATACTCTTCAGTTCTTTTCAGTGACTTTTCAATCAAAATATTTTTAATGTAGTTTTTAAACTTAGGAAATAATAATCTTAATGTATGCTCCGGAATCTTATTGCAAAAACGTATACAGTTCCCCATAAAAGATTCGTTTACCTTAGTTATACGAAATCGTGGTACCATGAGATTGGACTTAGCTAGCGCCAAGGTTAGTAACTAACGCACACGCTCATAGCCCCGTACTAGGGAAACCCTGTGTCGTGGGTGCCATGGACACACACAGAGACAACTACAAATTACACCCAAACTCACGAGATAAATAAATGTAGGCCATACAAATATTTCTCCCGGCCCGGGAGTCGAACCTGGGACCTCTGCGTGGCAGTGCGGCATGGTAACCGTTCGGCCACAGCGGCAATTAAGGGTTAATATTATGGACATCTTCTTTCTTATTGAAATTGTGTTTTTGTTTTTCGATAGAAAACCTAAGAACTCGATACATTTTTATCGTGTTTTCCTTCTTTAACAGCTCTACATACAGGAGAGTACGTTTTACGCTCAGAAGTTGGAGACGGCAGTGGTTGCGAAGCGCGTTCCGTGGAAATTGGTCACCAGTCGGCCATTGCTGGACGGTGGTGGAGACACGGCACTATCTTCTCTGCAGAATTCAGACCCTAATACACTTTCCCTTATTACTCTCTATGGGAACACGGGACAGACAGGTATGATGTTATCCTATATTTACTTAATTCTACTTTTATTTCCAAGTCGTAAGTTGACAATCTTTATACGTGATCGCTTTTTATCAAAGAGCACATCAATTTTGACACTTTGGAATCGACTGTAGCGTCAATTTAGACGTGCATTTGACCAATACATTAGTGCGAAATTTCTGGATCTCATGTTTAGAATTTCAAATAATAATTATATAAATTAAAACTGTAATGATTTTTATAAATTGCCATGTTAACCATTAACGCATTATAACGTTTACAACTTGATTAAAAACATATTTAAGAATGTGTCACCGTTCTGTAGTCATAAAAAAAAACAGAAGTATGTTATTATATATGTACAAAATATTCATTTGTTTTTTTTTATGATATAAAGGGACGAATTGATCTAGTCGTACGCCTGGTTATAAGCGACACCCCTATCCATAACTTAATCACACTACAGTAATTACAAACAATTATAAAAAATTACATAATTCGTTCATAACACAAAAAATAACGATAGAAGAAAACAAAGAATAAGAGAAATTAAAAAAAGTCAAGTTAAAATAAATAAGCAACAAAAATCAAGTCCAAAAAGTTCATTATTCAGCGTCTGAGGACTGTGCTATTTCCATAGCCCTCTATGTTATTTTGCCATGGCCCGTCATGAAATTAATGCTACTTTGTAAATATTACACAATTGGGCAGTAAATAAACAAATAAATTTGACACGAACAACAATTAGACAAAGGAAATAATCAATTCGAGTAATAATAATAATAAACGCAATGAAATATTAATAAATTGAAATTGCACAATTACCAAACATGCACAATTACACGTAAGTGTAATTTTTTCGCAAAAGAATTAAAGAGTTTACGCTAATAGGGCAAATGAACGGCATCAATCACTAAAGCTAGTTGTTAATTTATTTTAGTATAGTTATGACTCGGACATTATTCTTATTATTATTATTAATTTTGTTATTTTATACTGTCACGCTGCATATTGTAATAATTATATTATAAATTGGGTATTGTTATTTTAAATGTTTAGGTTACGGATCAAATTCTTGTTATTCTTTTTAGTTTTTGTTAAATAGGCATTGCTATCTACCTCTTCTCAGGCTCCAGCTGAAAATCAGCGCTGTGGCTCTGCCCAGCATTAAGCTGAGCTGGCTAGCCTTTTCGGCTATTAATTATGTACTTCGTAATATATTTTTTTTTATCTTTTAATTTAAATTTAGGCTAATGTTATTATTATTATTATTTGTAATAGCCGAATAAATGTTTCTTTCTTTCTTTCTTTCTTTCTTTTAAGTGCGCATAGGTACGGCTGTAAATGCGATTAGACATGTTTTGCTTTATTTCTATACAGGAAACCACGGATTTTTCTTATACTTGCATGAAACGTGTGATCAAGCGGTACAAGTGAGCGAAGACGCGCTAGACGAAATACCAGAAATTGCTCAGCCAAACAGCAGCGGCGATCATAGTGACGGCGCCCACCACGTTCACATACACGTGTACTCCCTCTGGTTCTGGTGGAAGGAAGTATTACTAATAACAATCAGCTCCGCTTTGTTGATGAATCTGATGATTTGGCCGAGATTTTTTGCGCCCAAAGTAAGTTCGTCTTCGCCCCTACCCATGAAGCAGGAGGTTGTCGTCCTGGAGAATCACTACGGGAGACATATGTCGAACAGTTCCAACGATCTTTCGAGCCGGTTCGAGAATGATTTTGAGCCATTGCGGTGCTTGGGAAAAGGCGGCTTCGGAGTCGTGTTCGAGGCGAGAAACAATATTGACGACCGCCATTATGCGGTGAAGAGGATCACTTTGCCGAAACAGTAAGAATCTTATTATATAACACGACGAATCTTATACCCAGAATAGATGGAAAACAATTACATTTACAACAATACGATTTCTCTATACAACGGTTTGCATTTGGCAATTTTTAATAACATCAAGTGACTGGACGAATAGGCGTGCGCCTGGTGGTAAACGACACGTTTATCCAAAACAGTTGCAGTGCCACTCAGAGCTTAAAATCGTAAAGATAGGGATACTTCCACTGCGCCTGTTATCTTGAGACATAAGTTGACAAGTCCCTAGTGCCTGTAATTTCACCAGCACCTTTACCCTTCGAAACCGGAACGCAGTAATGCTCATATTATTGCTTGGCGGTAGAAATAGGTAAGGTGGCAGTACTTCCCTGGACGAACTCTTTCACAAGGAACGTGAATGAGGAGGTTCCGATTCTCAGTAGAAGTTAGTGCTCCAGTATCAATTCCGTTGTTCTGTAACTTATAAAATAGGGAATTCCACTAGAAAGTACACTTGCGAGACGGGCGTGCTACAGGAGAGACTCTACCAGAGCAACGGAATTCACTAAAACACTCTGGCCAGAACTATAGTACTCGAGGTACACCTTTGGGCCCAAGTTGTATGGAATGAAGAGTGGATCCTTTCTTTTCTTTCTTTCTTTATATATTATCACGGAAACCTGAAAACTCGATGAACCAATAAGGCTGCTATCAGATTGACTGCATGTTTTTAGTTAATGCGTGAAGTCGTAATCGACTTCATGCAGCCGAGACCACGACAGCATGAAGTTGATAATGACATTAACTGCATGCCGTCGATCTCGACTGCATGAAGTCGGTTTTTACTGCATGCAGTTAATCTGTTACCAGCCTAAATAATACAATTTCAACGTTTAGGGCGGAGAAACGCAACCGCGTACTGCGCGAAGTCAAAGCGCTGGCGCAGCTGGACCACGAGCACATCGTGCGGTACTTCAACGCCTGGGTCGAGGAACCACCGCCGCAGCGCCAGCAGCAGCGCGACGCCGAGTGGGTCAAGTAAGTGAAATGCTGTTTATTATTGTTTCATGTTATTTAAGGTGGTGCCACCAGTGTTCGACATCTTTTATTAAATTCATTTCTAATAAGATTTAGGATAAAGTTTTCATGTTTCTTATTGTTGTCAATTACTGCGCGTTCTCTTTTTTCTTTTTTACACACACACATATACACACACAACATAGCCCCGCACTGCGGACACCCTGTGTAGCGGGTGCCATGGACACTCTTATAGACAAGCACAAATTACACCCAAACTCACGAGATAAATAAATGTGGGCCATACAAATATTTCTCCCGGCCTGACGCAGGCACGCAGAGGCGTGGGTGTCCGGCATAGTAACCGTTCGGCCACTGAGGCAGTTTTTATTAGTGAGTGTTGATTACTGGTTAGTTAATTAATTTTTAAAGTTTTTAAGGTTTTTGGTGTTCATTACTGGAGATTTAGAGAAATTCTAGTTTAGATTTTTTTTGTAACAATTATAATTAATTGTTAAACAAAGATCGAACATTTAGAAAAACTTAACTTCGATCTGGTTTGATTCGAACCAATGTCTCCCAGCAAACCGTGGCAGACGCTATGCCAACTAATCCACGGAACGAACCAACGGACCTCACGAATATTTCCATGTGTTTGTTGCAGATCTTGTTTTTGGTTCTTAAAGACTTTTTTGCCGTAGCTCTTAACTGAATTACAATAATTATAATAATAGCTTCTTTCTGAAACAAACTACAGCACAATATTTTTTGAAAATTATGTCTGTCAAGTACAGTAATCAATATTGATATAATTGAAATGGTTAAAAATGGTAGATGCAATTTTACTTAGTTTACCTTAATTAAAATGATGTAAACATACAATAATATCACTGTTTGCGATAGTCTGGCGCATATATTTAAATATAAGGTAATTTTCCCTTCTCACTTAAAGTTCGTATTTATGCTGGGTGTAGGCTGCATAAAATAGGATTTTATGCTCTAGAACAAAAAAAAATCACATTAAATATGTCTAATTGTTCTAATTTTACATTCAATTTTAATTAAATAATCGTTTATTTGTATTATTGCTGTTTAATTTCCTCGCAAACGAAGTGAAAAGCAGAGTGCATAACTCGTTCATAAAACCCATTTTATCCTCGACTTAAGTATCCACCCCCGCATGCGGTGGATGTACTCGTCTCGGGTAAAATGACGCGTTTTATGCACTTGTTGTACAGTCTACTATTATTAAGATTCATGTATTTAGGCATTGACTTACAAATAAATGGACGACGGGTCTAATACAAAAACCACGAAAAAATGTCCCAAGTCAACCTATTTAAACGTAGTGACATGTAAAGGAATATGAAAAAGCTAAAACGTTGAATTTAAATTGTAATGTCATCGCAGTACTGTCTAATTTTACTTGCTTCGCTGTCAGTCGAACAAACGAAGACTAAAGCGTGAATGACGCTCTGTATACGATTTTAACGCCCTATAAGTTTGGACACTTTTTAGCGCGGACCCGACGTCCATATAATTGTAAGTCAATGTATTTAGGTTAAATTTTTGTACAGAATAAATTTATTTTTATCTTTATCTAATTATCAAGTACAAAGATCGAACACAAAGAGAAAATCCTTCGACTTTACAGGACTCGAACCTGCGACCACGGGATTCCGTCCCCATACCTTTATCGACCTGTAGGTCGAGTTTACTAAGTCGACGAATTTATTCTATGTGTGTATAGATAATTACGTAGCGACATCGGTGAGCGATTTTAGGAACCTTCTCACTCACTATTGATTTTTTTTTGCCATGCCAAGGACTTTTGTGGACCCGGTGCACCATGTGGACACAGCAACCCTTTTGTTTCTCAAAACTACTTGGCAATTATTAATCAAATTTCTGTAATCAATAATCATTCACAACGTACAATATTTACAGGAAACTGGAAGGCGGCAGCGCGTTGCGTTCCGAGGAATGGACAGTTGTCCATTCGTCGGGCGGCGTAGTTACGCCGGCGTCGCTGGTCAAAAAGCGGGACACGCGCAAGCCTGATAGTGTACTACTAAATATGCAGAGACCAATAGACGACTGCTTCGCTACTGGCGAGAAAGGAACAGACCACTACCAGAGGCAGAGGTGGGCCATGAACTTCTCTTAGTTTTTACATGTGATCAGTAGCGGACTTGCAGTCTTGGTCACGCTAGGCCCCAGGCCATGTACGTGAGTACCAACATCCGTTCAGTACTTTTTGAGTTTATCGCAATCAGACAGACAGAGAGACGCGGTAAAATAAGTTGGTCTATTAGTATCGAGATAAATTTTTATTCATATACACTTTCTCAAGAGTAGCCGAATTTGATGATCTATATTGAAGTAAAATATAAAACTTTGAAATATGTCTTCTCTTGGTGTTTTTCACAATCATAATTCTAAATACAGTGTATGTATGTATGAATTTATAAAAATTGACAATTCATATGAACTGGAGCTCAGTAATTGGATGAATAATGAGTCAAGCTTCGAGTTCGGCTATTTATTTCATAAGTTGGCCCCTCCTACGTAAAGTATCGTATGTCGAAATTGCCTAGTTTACAGAAGAGCGTTTTGAAGTTCTGAATTCACTAAAATGAGCATAACGCGTGATTTTAGCATTTCTCAATTTTATTCGGCAAAGCTTGTTACTCACATAGAGTATTATAAAATCCTAGATAATCGGTTGGATGATCTATGATGATCTATTATATCGCCCTTGCAGTAAATTCAGAACTTCAAAACGCTCCCCTGTAAACTTGGCAATTTCGACATACGATACTTTACGTAGGAGGGGTCGAATGTGACCAATATCATAATAAGTCGATAGTCATGGAATAATTTTATCGACTGCAACCACTAGCTGCTCGCAAGCGGGCAATACTTTTGCTCAATGAACTGTCATTTTACTCCGTCTTTAAAAAATACTGACTATGAAAATGCAAAAAATAAACACTCACTATTTTATCGATACTATCAATGTTAATTATCTTCTACTTAGTCCTTATCTTCATTGCTCAAGGTCGTGTCCCCGAAAGGATTTCGAGACTTTATGGACGATTTTCTTCCATCTGGTTCTGTCTTCGGCCTCTCTCAGGGCAGCTGTTATAGGGAGTCTAGCCATCGCCTAGGCAATCGACCGCGGAGTCTCTTTCCCTCCATCTCAACCATCACAACCAATTTGTGAAGGTTGTCTGGTTGTCGGCTAGCAATATGATAAGGATATAATCACTCCAATAAACATTGGGTCTTACAAACAAACACTTCCATGAAATCACAGAACATATAACTGGAAATTGTACAGTTATATTTCCACATTATAAATGCACCGTTCAGTTTTACTTCGGTGTTAAGTTCTCGTGTAAGTGACAATTGTATTATTTATTTATTTTTATTTCACAATTTATTGTACAGGGAAACACATTTCACATTTAGTAAAACGGAAAACATAAACAAAAGGTACTGCTTATTTCTAAAAGAATTTTTTTCCTTCAGACCAAAATACAGGACAAAATAATTACAATATCGGGTTTACATGCATAAACAAAATTTAATTATGCAATAAAATAATAAGAAAAAAATATTAAATTTTTTACAGACGACATAAATACTTAGATAAATATATATTTAATATTATAATATTTATAAAATGGATGGAACAGTGGATAAATAGATCTCCTCTCATCTCCTTGATTTTCATTTTAAAGATAGCTAAGGATTTACTGTCACGAATAATAATGGGAACTGCGTTCCAAAGTCTGACCGCGTTCATGTCAGTCAAGGATAAAATGTTAATGCGATATAAATCTTTAAACCCATGATTATTGATTTATGTCCAGATCTCTGAGCTACACGGACAGCTGTGGATCATTGGCGGTGACCAGCGCAGGTCACTCGACGACCAACGCCAGTACCGACCATCGCACCAATAACATCTACACTCGTTCGAAAACTACGCAGGATGAGGATTCCTACATCGTATTCGAGGAGTCGAAACTCTCCGAGGCTCGCAACCCTTCAGACAAGGCTCTTGAAAGAGTACTTAATCTTAGCTGCCCGAAGAGTGAAACGAATGCTAAGAAGAAAAAGGTACGTAGCGGTACATACAATTACTATTTTTTTTTTAATTTATTTATTCAAAACCAACTTAAACTAAAAACGTATATTAAGACTACTTTCAAAAACCCTTCAAAGGGTTTATGCGAAGGTAGAAAGCATCGCATACTCGCCACTATTGTTATGGGTCCAACATACAACCCAAGTAATACTTTTTTAAAACTTGTTTACATTTTTTTACATTTATAAACATATCTTTATGCAATTGTACTGGTATTTTATTTACAATTTTTGGTAATATGTACTTTGTAGTCCTCATACCGTAAGTATTGGTGATTCTAGGTAGTTTAAACTCAGGTAGGTAGGTAAGGGTATGTAATTTATTAAGCCTGTTTGTTTTTGTTAATAAATTGACATTTTCAAATTGGTCCAGTAATATTGACACATTCGACTTGTTAAAGACCGACATTACCTTACAGTGGTTAAAAAGACCGGGATCGTTATCCTTATATTTGTTTTTTATTTTATTTGATACAATTGTCTGTATTGTACTGTATTGTTATCTTTATTTTGACTTTTTTAAATTCTTTCAACTGCCTATGTATGTTATCAATGCGCTTATTTAACTCAATTTATATCAACGGGGAGCTGTTTGCTTACCATTCAACTGCCTCCGTGGCCGAACGGTTACCATGCCGGACTGCCACGCAGAGGTCCCAGGTTCGAATCCCGGCCGGGAGAAATATTTCTATGGTCTATATGGTCTATACTCTCGTGAGTTTGGGTGTAATTTGTGGTTATCTATGTACGTGTCCATGGCACCCGCGACACAGGGTTTCCCTAGTGCGGGGCTATGTAGAATATGTGCGTTAATATTATTATTATTTAATTTCTATATTGTAGTATAAGCTGTTTATACCCTCTAAGATAAAATAAATAAATATTTCTCGGCAATTTTCGGATTTCCGAATGCACTATAGTAGTTGTACGTGCAAAGTACATACTTTATTCTTTTGATTTCCCTATGATCAATGGGAAAAATTATTTACTTTTTTATAATAATAATATTTACTCTTCAACAACGTACCAACTACACATAACAAAAATAAAGTGTTCTTATTTGTTTTTAAAATCGGGACTTAATTATGTAAAAAAACATATTTTATCGAACATATTTAAACGTCCAGGTAATTAAATATGTTCATATACACGATTAAAACTCCTCCGTGGTCGAACGGTTACCATACCGGACTGCCACGCAGAGGTCCCAGGTTCGATTCCCGGGCCGGGAGAAATATTTGTACGGCCTGCATTTATTTCTCTCGTGAGTTTGGATGTAATTTGTGGTTGTCTATGTGTGAGTCCATGGCACCCGCGACACAGGGTTTCCCTAGTGCGGGTTTATGTTGAGTGTGTGTGTGTGTGTGTGTGTGTGTACTTTAACACCCGATTTAAAATCAAATAATGTATGAATAGTGCGATAGTTTTTTATATTAATTATATCTGCAACTTCAGAGGAGCTGTCTATGCGTTACCAGCCGTTGAGAGCCCTGTTGACTAGTTTTCGCTATTTTAAAATTTGTTATATGTATATTCAGATGTGGTTAACCGCTAACCACCGTTAATCTTTCCCAAACTTATGATGCATGCTACGCCTTCGGAATAGTGCGTATCAGTTGATTAAAATAAGTGTATCAACTGAAGGAGTTCAAACTTGTTCTGTCAGATTTAAGTGGCGACGATGTCGTAGTACGAGAAGCGATGGCCGGAGCACTTGTACCGGCCGCCTAATACCACCCACCGCTTGAGGTAGTGATGCGCATGCCGCGCGGAACGAGTCCTCCATCGTGCCCCGGCCCGACAGATCAAAAATCTTGTCTTACTGACTGGAACTTTCGCAAAGCAGATATTATGGGACTGTACCGCGATATTTCTTTATTTCTTGCGCGTTATTTCTTGAACTGGGCAAACGTACTCGTCCAGCAGGAAGTCGATGTAGCTGTGGAGGCTTTTTACGATAAGCTCAACACCGTTATTGAAAAACATGTACCTAGGAAATGTGCTGGTGTATCCCGGGTGCGTCAGTATCCGCCTTGGTACACGCCCGAGTATATAGGCAAACTCAAAATAAAATTTTTCCACCTTAAAAAATATATGGCTTTGGGACTGGATTTCAACCGCGATGGTATTCGGAACGACCCGTGCGAGTTTCTTTCTTTCTTTCTCTCTTTCATTCATTCAAACTCCCCACTGCTAGATGCAGCTGAGGCGGAGCGGAGTCTCGTACAGCGGGTAGTGTTAGTGATGTACTGTACGCATTACCCATGTCTCGGTGGACGATTTGCGCCGTGCAATACGTCGCCTTAAATCCAGTTCGCCTGCTGGGCCCAATTTATGTATAACCGCTCGATCCAGAAAGGACAATTTTCAAGTACATAGAAAGTATCAAGGGTAACACCTGTCCCGAAAAAAGGCACTTCTAAAGAAATCACAATGTACAGGCCTATCGCAATTTTAAGTGTATTCTGTAAAGTTTTTGAGCACATCTTAAATTTTCACATAAAACTGCAAGTCAGTAATCGTTTAGATATCGCTCAACATGGATTTCGGAGTGGTTGATCCACCACTACTAACCTTATTTCATTTGTTGACTATGTAGCATCCCAAATGGATGTACGTCGACAGATGGATGCCGCTTACGTCGATTTCACGAAGGCGTTTGACCTAGTGGACAATGATATTCTGTTGGAAAAACTTTCCGCTATAGGAATTGCACCCGGCTTGGAAAAGCTGTTTGCTAGCTATATTGATGACCGCAAACAATATTTTAAATTTAAAAATTATAAATCTGACCATTATTTTACAAGGTCCGGGGTGAGTCAGGGTAGCATTTTAGGACCAACCCTATTATTACTCATGATAAATGATCTTCCCAAGGTTCTTAACACAGCTAGGTGTTTATTGTTTGCTTTCGGTCATAGGCTGTCGGGCTCTGCAGTGCGATATTGATGCGGTAACTGTATGGTGTGGAAGCAATGGGTTAACTTTTAATGTCCTACTCGAGATCTATCGCCCCTATAAATTACGAGTATTCTATAGGTAATACAGCACTTGAACGAGTAGTCTATTCGCGATCTGGGAGTAATAATGGACCCCAAGCGCAACTTTCATGATCACCATCACGACTCTCTGCAAAACGGCCAATAAAACTCGCTTTTGTTATGCGAGCATCCTTACAGTTTCGTGCTACTAGGGTGGCACTTATACTTTACAATGCTTTTGTAAGAAGTGGGCTCGAAGTATTCCAGCCCACGTGGAAGTATTCTTGCGCGGAAATCTGGGAATCGTTATGAGGATAAATATTGTCTCCAGATTGAAAAAATACAACGCAAATTCGCTCGATACTTGTACAAGAGAATGTATGGTTATTATCCGCTGCTTTTTCCTTCCTTATTTGTCTACGGAATGGTCGGTCTTGTCACCTTGGAAGTGAGACGTAAAGTTCGCACCGTACTCCATTACGTACTTCTCCTGCGAGGTAAGGTGGACAATCCCGGACACTGAGCAACGTCGATCCGTTTGTGCCAAACAGGTACGTCTGCACGGGCCGACGCCGACATCAATTGTTTGCGCCACACGTGCGACACACTTGTCGGGCTGACAACGCGCCCACGAAACGTAATCTCACGTTGCTTAATTGTCTAGTCGCTAAGGCCCAGGATGCTGACATCTTTTGCATTAGTAACTTATCAGGCAAACGTAGCGTATCAAATATGTATGTAGTATAAGTAATTAGCATGTAAGCGTTTTGGTTGTTACTGTAAGTTTACATTGTATCTTTAATAAATAAAGTCATGAAATAAATTTAAAAACGTAACAGGGGTGTAGGCACGTTAGCATTTTGTTAAACGGGAATTTTACGGTTGTCGAAGATGTGCTATACCTTTTTTTTTTTTATAGACATATCTTGAAAACGTCATTTTTTAAGCTACTGCTCGTTCACTGCGCTGACCTCCCTGAGAAGAATGAGCAAGAAACCCTAGGGATTGCTCTTTTCAAATAAACTTAAATGCTATGGAATACACCTTGAGTCATAATTGTGTGGAATCTAGACTCATGTTGTCTTTCCATACGTCTTTATCTAACACATACTCTTCAATTTTGTAATATCTTTTCAATTAACATACTTTTAATGTGAGTTTCAAACTTAGGAAATGATAACCTTCATTAACCTCCGGAATCTTATTGTAAAAACGTATACAGTTCCCCATAAAAGAATCGTTAACCTTAGTTAAACGAAATCGTAGTACCATGGGTTTGGACTAGTTGTAAGGTTAATATTATGGATATCTTCTTTCTTAACGAAGTTATGTATATTTTTACGGGCATACAAAATATTTGAGTAAATGTAATGTGATGCCATAGCCATGTAGCGATACAGTGTTGCGGTACCCTCAGATATTTATATTGTCAGTTTTACAACAGGATGGAGTTTTAGATACCTTGTTGAATTTTTGACTTTAGTCATTTAGTCAAAAACGTGACAGATCGACGGTGAATAAGATATGTAACAAAATTTTGTGTTTTTTTGCCAGAAAGGGCACACTCGTCACTGGTCTCTGGACATGGTGGTCCGCGATTCGCCGGTGCCCGAAGAACCTGCCACCTTGATGTATCTTTACATCCAAATGCAGCTCTGTAAGCGAGACAGCCTCTATCACTGGCTGCTGCTTCATAATACCTGGGAGTCTAGAGGGGATGAGGTATTTATATTTTCTTTTTCTACTTGTACATACGTTCGCATTTCTCGCGGTGCGCTCGCATTGCACAACGCGGGTTGTCGCAAAAGTAAAAAAAGTCAAAATCATTTTAATAGCAGTGGAGCTCCTTGTAAAAGAGTTCGTCGAGAGTCTAGGGAAGTACTGCCCCCTTACCTATTTCTGCCGCCAAGTAGTAATGCCAGCATTACTGTGTTCCGGTTTTGAAGGCTACGGGTGCTGGTGAAATTACAGGCACATGGGACTTATCAACTTATGCCTCAGGGTGACGGGCGCAATGGCAGTGCCCCTAAGATCTTTGCAATTTAAAGATCTGAGTGGCACTGCAACTGTTACGTATAGTGACGCTAACCACCAGGCGTACGACTTGTTCGTCCCGCATTTGGTATTATATTAAAAGATTTTTTTCCAATACATTTTTCTAACAAGACGTTATTATACAGGGTGTCCCGGGACGCGACGTCAAGCCGGAACGGGGTGATAGGCCAGGTCATAACTGTTATCAGAAAAATAAAAAATAAAATCTATGTCATGTATTTTAAAAATTATGACCATTTTGAAAAAAATCGAAAAATATACACCCTGTGACGCATTTTCACTTCCCGTTTCTACAAATTTCCACTTTATTTTAATTTTTTTATTATTTTGTAACCCTGAGTAATGCTCCTGTAGCTAGTCGTCTAAAATTTTGACACAACTGCTCTAATTTTGAAAAAAAAATGACACGTTATTCCCATATCAAAAGAGAAATTGAATTTTCGTTCAATTTCAACTCACTCTACCGAAAAAAAAATGTACTACACTGGTTGGGCAAGTAGCTTTAAAAGTTGGCGCATTTTAAGAGGATTCCAAAATGGTATTACACTTGCTACTTTATTTCTTAGATTATGGTGAAATAATTTTTTTTGTGAACAAAACCGGTTTTCAACTATTTTTCATTTCTTATTTTTAAATTTATTTAGTGTACCCAATCCTTCGCTCGGAACGGTAACTATGACATAATTCTTAACGGTAACTATGAGAGAGACGGAGAGAGCTATTCTACGAAGTGTGAGTGAGATAGAGAGTGACGCCGCTAATGTGTGAGATTCATAATTCTAGTATGAGAGAGACGGAGAGAGCTTTTCTACGAAGTGTGAGTGAGATAGAGAGTGACGCCGCTAATGTGTGAGACGGATAGATATTATTCGACTAGTGCGAGCACAATTCACAATAACGACAGTACGTTACGCTACTTCGTTTACTGCGCACCTTTCCGTATTCGTTCGTCTTGATTTCGTACTAACAACCTTTTGCTTCGTTTATTGGACCCCGATTGCTTTTGATTTGGATTTGGACTGTTTAGTTTCTCTTTTTTACGACCTTTGCTTTCTTTTTTCCTCTGGACCACTGTGATTGTGTTGTGACACCATGTCCGTGTACACCGTACAGGAATATGCCAACATGCACCTCATTTATGGGGAATGCAGATGCAATGCTAGTGCTGCAGCTAGACTTTATCGTGAGAGGTACCCAAATGCTGCTCGTCATCCCGATCATCGAGTTTTTACGAATGTGCACCGTTTGCTCTCAGAGGGACGATTCCCAAGCGAAGCGCATAGTGAAAGTAGAAGTTTCCATCATTACGAGGACGTCGTAATGGAAGCAGTGGAAGAAAACCCGAGTTCTTCGGTACGTGGAATTGAAGCAACTACAGGAGTGCCAAAAAGTGTAGCACACCGAATTTTACAATACAATAAACTCCACCCGTTCCATGTACAGAGAGTACAGTCATTACTTGAGCGCGATTATTCACCGAGAGTTGCATTTTGCCAAACAATGCTAGAGAGACACCGAGAAGATCCGCAATTCCTACAAAAAATTTTATGGTCTGATGAATCAACATTTAAAAAAGATGGTTACATGAACTTACATAACCTACACGAGTGGCATGTAGAAAATCCACATTTGATGAGACAAGACAGGTCACAATACCGCTTTAAAGTGAACATGTGGACAGGGATTTTAAATGGGAAAATCATTGGGCCCTATGAGTTGCCAGAGAACTTGGATAGCGAAATTTATTTAGATTTTCTACAAAATCAATTGCCAAATTTACTGGAAGACGTACCATTAAACATTTACAGAGATATGTGGTACCAGCAAGATGGCTGCCCGGCGCATTATGCCCGCTCAGTTAGAGCATACCTCGATGAGGAATACCCGGGCAGGTGGATAGGACGGTCTGGCACAATCTCGTGGCCAGCCCGTTCTCCAGATTTAAATCCACTCGATTTCTTTTACTGGGGAGCAATGAAAGAAAAAGTTTACCGTAAACCAATAGAAGACTTGGCGGAGCTACGTGCGAGAATAGCAGAAGCAGGAGAATTTGTTAATAACGGAAGATTCGCCCGTTTAATATTCCGATCATTTCTCAAAAGATGTCGGGCGTGTATTGCAGCTGAAGGAAAGCATTTTGAACATTTGCTGTAATTTAAATAAAATCATAATTTTACTTAAATAGATTTTTTATTTAATGGAACTATCCTAAGCTCAAAGAAAAAAATAATGATGCCATTAATTTAAATTAGCGGCGTCACTCTCTATCTCAGTCACACTTCGTAGAAAAGCTCTCTCCGTCTCTCTCATACTAGAATTATGAATCTCACACATTAGCGGCGTCACTCTCTATCTCACTCACACTTCGTAGAATAGCTCTCTCCGTCTCTCTCATAGTTACCGTTAAGAATTATGTCATAGTTACCGTTCCGAGCGAAGGATTGGGTACACTAAATAAATTTAAATTAAGAAATAAAAAATAGTTGAAAACCGGTTTTGTTCACAAAAAAAATTATTTCACCATAATCTAAGAAATAAAGTAGCAAGTGTAATACCATTTTGGAATCCTCTTAAAATGCGCCAACTTTTAAAGCTACTTGCCCAACCAGTGTAGTACATTTTTTTTTCGGTAGAGTGAGTTGAAATTGAACGAAAATTCAATTTCTCTTTTGATATGGGAATAACGTGTCATTTTTTTTTTCAAAATTAGAGCAGTTGTGTCAAAATTTTAGACGACTAGCTACAGGAGCATTACTCAGGGTTACAAAATAATAAAAAAAATAAAATAAAGTGGAAATTTGTAGAAACGGGAAGTGAAAATGCGTCACAGGGTGTATATTTTTCGATTTTTTTCAAAATGGTCATAATTTTTAAAATACATGACATAGATTTTATTTTTTATTTTTCTGATAACAGTTATGACCTGGCCTATCACCCCGTTCCGGCTTGACGTCGCGTCCCGGGACACCCTGTATAATTATTAACTGTACTTATGTCTTAAATTGTAAATATTAAATTCTAAATTCTAAGTACTCTCTAATTGTATAGAAACGTAGTCCATTAGCTAAACCGACGTTTTTAGAATAGTGACCTCGTCAAGTGTTTTAAGTGCTCCCATGGATGATTTTTAGCACGCGCTGTTCACATTCCTGTCGTTAAACAATTAAAATTAATTGGTGGTTTTCAATGATACAATTGCAGGTGGTGAGGTCCTTGTTTAGCCAAATAGTATCGGCGGTGGAGTACGTGCACAGCAACAAGCTGATACATCGCGACCTTAAGCCGCGGAATATTCTGTTCTCGCTTGACGGACGGGTGAAGGTAGGGGACTTCGGCCTGGTCACCACTATGGGAGACTGCGCCTCCGATGGTCCAGAACCTGCTCACTATCACTCGCACCAACACGTGCATACTAAAAGCGTTGGTGAGTTTCCGTTTTTAAACTGATTTCAATAAATGTTTGATTAGAAGCAAGTGCTGGAGAAGAATGGAGGGAATCAGTTGGACGGAAAGAAAAACTAAAGAGGAAGTATAAAACATAGTGCTAGAAAAGTGGCGCTTATTAAAGACAATATCGAACCGAAGGCGATAAATGCTTGGCTATCTGCTGGCTCGGTCTGTGACAATTGGCAACAGACGGTGGTTCAAATCCGGCCAGATTTCATAATTTTTTCTTTATGTTATTAAGTTCTAGTTAGTAGCAGTAGAGCTGCTCGTGAAAGAGTAGGTCAAGTGCAGTGCTGCCACCTTACTTATTTTTGCCGCCAAGCATTGGTGAGCATTACTGCATTCTTGTTTGGAAGGGTAAGGGTGCTGGTGAAATTACAGGCACTTGGGACTTGTCGACTTATGTCACAGTGTGAAAAGCGCGGTGGTGGCAGTGCCCCTCAGAACTTTGAGATTTAAAGCTCTGTGTGGCACTGCAACTGTTATGGATAGGCGTGTCGCTTACCACCAGGCGCAGGACTTGTCCGTCCCATCACTTGGTATTATAAAATAAAATAAGATGAAATAAATAATTATTGAATGTCAAGATATTTGACCACCATATTTTATTATTTTTTATGAAATTACTCCAATTATTAATACAAAAATCGAACACAAAAAAAATCCTTCGATCCGGCTGGATCCGAACCAGCGTCTCTCAGCAAACCGCGGCAGACACTATGCAACTAAGACACGGAACGAACCACCAGCACGACCAGAACGAACGACCAGCGGGCCTTCCGAATTGTTCTTATTTATGTTGTTTGATCTTTATCATTAATTGTAGAATAATTGGACTGTGAACTGGCAACCGGTACTATCTCAATTTTCACAACTTTAAAGGTGAAGAAAACATCATTTATATAGTATCTGGTTTATGAAATAAAAAATACGTAGTGTATATTGTATACATGTGTAATAAAAATATTTAAAAACTACGTACTGTTAATTTTTATCCTGTAAAGTTGTCAAAATTGAGATAGTACCGACTGCCAGTTTACAGTCTATGTACTACGTCATCATTCATGTGTGCTTCTCTAAAACTACAATTTGAGCTTATTCAAGCCTGGGCATCAAGTGAAATTATGGCCAAGCGTGCGTGTATTTATGCTAAAAAAATATTATATTAAAATTTTTAGGGACCAAGCTGTACATGTCACCGGAACAGCGTCGCGGCGACCGTAACTACGACTTCAAAGTGGACATCTATTCGTTGGGCCTGATCCTCTTCGAGTTCTACTACCCGTTCAGCTCCGAGCACGAACGGGTCAAATGCTTGAACCAGGTCCGCGATGGAATCTATCCGAAGCAATTCCACAAAAGTCATCCTGAAGAGGTCAGTTGCAACTTCTTTACAAAAAAAAAACTCCTTTTATTCATGTCTCATTATTTCTGGTGTTAATTACCACCTTAATTACAGTGTAAGTAATAAAATAAATAAAAATAGTTTAATGCTTCCTATATCTAGATTAATCCTACATTCGTCTAGCCCATACGTCACCGTGTGCCATATATACTGAAAACTGAAACTAACGAAAGAATATTTTTCAAAAAACTAAAAGACTTCTAATAAATAAATGTTATTATAATATTAATGAATTCCTGAACGGAGTTCAGTTTAGCAAAAAGGCAAATTCGAGAACAGCCCACTTACTCTCTTCTCTTCTACGCTGCTGTTATTGTACGGCTATCACAAATACATACGATATTTTTGGAGAACAATAAATAAGACTTTTCACAATCCTGCCAATGAACACTATGCCATCTTTATTTTTTGGTCAATTTCTGCTATTTTTGTAAACAGCCATATTTATTTACTAATATTGTGCTCCCTGAATTTTGTGAAAAAAGAAACAAAAAACAAAATTGGAAAAATTCCTTCGATCCGGTCGGTCGAAGGAATTTTTTCTGAGTGTTCGATCTTTGTATTAATAATTATAACAAACTAGTGGAGTAATTTCACAAAAATAATTGAATATCAATTCAATAAAAATTTAATTAAAATTGGACAAAAACAAAAAAACGAATTTTGTGAAAAAAAAATAAAGAACACAACAAAAAAAACAAAATAAAAACAATACATAATATCAATTCAATAAAAAAAATGAATACAATGAATAGCGACGTCTCTAGCCGGGACTGGTAGATGTAAAAGCATTTAACTGGGTGACGAAATATCATAGATTTCTCACAGGTGGCGCTACGGTTAAAAGTCGTTGAAAAACCAAAATACAACGATACGACGCAAGCGCATAGAAAAATTCGTGAAGTCCGCTGGTTCATTCCGTGGCTTAGTTGGTATAGCGTCTGGCACGGTATGCTAGAAGACGTCGGTTCGAATCCGGCCGGATCGAAGTAATGTTATCTGAGTGTTCGATCTTTGTATTAATAATTATAACAAACTAATGGAGTAATTTCACATAAAATAATTCAATAAAATTTAAATACAAAACAATTAAGTTGGCGTAAGTGTTCATTGGAGGTATCGGACATGACATCTTTAATAATTCTTCAGTCATAATGACAATGAGAAAAATATATAAACGAAAACGATTCAGATACGACTTCGTTATCCAAGAGCATTTACGGAGTTAGTCGGTGAAATAGATCATAAGAAAAATGCAAATCCTTCATATACATTTTTAAGACTTTAAAGACCTACAATATAGGAATGCATTAGTCTTGCATTAAAATAACTTAATAAAACTGAACAAAATCCAGACTTTATTTAAAATGTTAAGAGATTTCCATGTAATAACATTCTTGCTTTGTAAGCAATAGGACGTTCGGTAACTTTCATTCGATAACTGGGGTCTTTAATAACGTTTGTAGCCTTTGCCGGTCGAGAAGTTCGAGTAATCGTACGGGTGTGGCGTCATTTTGGTTCGGTTTCGAATACGACAATTTGACGTTCGATTCGGGTGTAGGGAATAAAAATGAAAAGAAATTTTACGATATTTAAACGAATCGGTCGACAACTGAGTTATCGTAAGGTTCTGAGTCGACTCCCAGTTCAGAGCGCCGACTGGCCAGTTTGTTTGAGGTTGGCAGTGTAGTTCTGGTGGAAATAAACTTTCTTACAGAGCCCATTGCCAATTGAAATGTGTTTCTATTAGCTGGTGCCCGCTACTTCAGTCTGCGTATGAGTACTTTGAGTATCCTACTGTACTACCTACTCGAAAAATGATTGGTTCACGTTTAAACTTTTATCCCCTACTTCACCCCTGATTTATTTTTGTGACAAAAAAGTCATTGACTTACAAATAAATGGACGACGGGTCTAATACAAAAACCACGAAAAAAATGTCCCAAGTCAACCTATTTAAACGTAGTGACATGTAAAGGAATATGAAAAAGCTAAAACGTTGAATTTTAATTGTAATGTCATCGCAGTACTGTCTAATTTTGTTTGCTTCGCTGTCAGTCGAACAAACGAAGACTAAAGCGTGAATGACGCTCTGTATACGACTTAAACGCCCTATAAGTTCGGACACTTATTAGCGCGGACCCGACGTCCATATAATTGTAAGTCAATGCAAAAAATAGTATAAAATACATCAAATTTGGTTTCAGTGCTTTAGGCGGGAAATCTTAACAGACAGAGTTACTTTCGCATTTATTTATATTTCGGATTAGGCCCTGATGAGGTGGAAATCTCAGGTAATTGCAAATCTTACATTTTTCCCAGATGGAGGTGCTAAAGCTGATGTTAAGCGAGGACCCATCGCTGCGTCCGACGGCCGCTGAACTGCGGACTCGACCGCCACTATACGAACACCCGATCGTCCCTCCTTGCGCCGTGGTGACCACTTAGCGGCAAACTAATGTACACCTAGACAGTACATTCAAGCATTTTAAATCACACGCGTGTTAATAATCGTTTAGGCCCGGCGCCCACAAACGGGACGGCACGGGACTGCAAGGGATTTTTAGGTAACGAATAATAATATACCTTAGGATTATGACAGTATAGTTGATAATTATCGTAGCTGCAAAATAAAGCTGCGGTATGCTTAGGGAAGCTTCGGAAGTCGACCTAATATTGATTCGTCGTTTCGATCCGTCGTTTCAGACTGATAGAAATGACGAATCAATATTTATGTTTATATTGTTAACGATTAACTTGAATGCCACGGGAGTAGCGATGGGTCGATAAAATCGATCGCCTGCTCATCTTCTTGACATACTTTAAAATGAAAGAAAAAGCTTAAACAAATTAATTATTGTACGTAGTAGTTGCCTCTACGGCGTAGGTGTCCCCTAGATCTCTTCACTCCTCTCTTCCCCTTAGTCATCCAATCTGGTCCGATTTTTTCTGTGAAAATGTCTCTTCGTATTAGATTTTGTCTACCTTGACTTCTTTTACTGTTCCTTGGGATTCATTCTGTGATAATTTATGTCCATCTGCTCCCGTAGCATGGCTACGCATGATAGTCGCGACGCGAACTATAAAATTGAAATAAGCACGCGCTATTGGCTATATAAATTAGATCTGATTGAGATAGCCATGCTGCGGGGGCAAGTATTATCTAACCTACAGATAGGGCCTGCCCATTTCTATTTTAGTTGGCGTATTTTATCCGATGCATCCTGTATTTTTGTGTTTTCCTTATAACTTGGTTTTTAATTTTGCCAGATCTATCAAACTTCTCTCCATCTTCCGCTAGCAGATTGCCACTCTTTCTTCGTCTATTTCTCTTAAAGACCAAGTTTGGCAAATATGTTAAGCAAGGTAATATCGCTATTTCTTATCTTTCTTTTTATACATACTGTAATGTCTATATTTTTCATCATTTCAGTGAGACTCCAATATTTTGTCCAAGCTAGCGTGATTCTCCTGTTTATCTCTTTCTCCTTACAGTCGTCAAATACACCAGGAAAACATACTCACTCACATACACTATGTTAGCATTGTTCACTATGACAATCGTCTGTATATAGGGGCCTTTACGATCGCATTTAATTTGCATTTTCTCTGGACACTACTTGTGAAATGGATCCTAAAATCATGTATTCATATACATGATTTCATATTCTGATTTTCATTTAAGTGGGTTTTGCTTACGTGAAATCGGTAGTTGTAAATACGGCATAATATATCACAAATTGTATATGAGGTCTACGCCGCGCGCGACTATTCCAAACTCATATGGTACGAATTAATAAGTAAATTAGATTCGATTTCATATATCACCTTGTTTTAATGCACTATATATTTATAATATAAATATAATTTGTAATATAAATATATATTGTTAAACGTAATGGTCTACTGTAGTAGGTACTTCTGCTATATTTATCATTATCACAAAATGTTAACAACAAACAGTTCACACAAACAAGTCGATAAGTTCTCGAGTTTCATTTGCGATAAAGGTGGACGCAGCTTCAGAGTCAAGGCAGAGAGGTTTCCTTCGTAATAAATGGTGTGTACTATTTTTTTTTATGACGAAGTAAATTGACAATCGCAGAATTGCCATTTTTCGTAAAATTTTAAATAGTCATGTAGTAGTTGTCGACAGTTTTATCGATAAATTGTGAAGGAGATAAAATTTTGCAGAAACTTAAGAATAGTGAATATAATGATGTTCTAAAGATTAATAATTACATTATTGCCTTCTTTTTACTTTTAACAGGTGGCCTATTAGTACCGGAATCAATCCGTGTAGTACGCAGGCACGGTTTATTCTTCCAAGATGAATATGAATTTGTATTTAAACTAGCTGGCGCCCGCGATCTCGTCTGCGTAGAATAAGAACTTCGAGTAGCCTACTGTAGCATACTAATTTTCATAATTCTATTGATTGTCCATACACATTTTCAATCTTTCTTTCACCCCCTTAAAAATTTATTTTTGTGACAAAAAGTAGCCTAAGTCCCATATATAGGTAATAAAATTCGATAAAATTGGTTACTCAGCTCCGGCCTGACAACGTTACAGACGGAGTTACTTCCGCATTTCTAATATTAGTTTGGATGAAACAAGTTTGGTCATTTATTGCGTAAACGTGACCAATATTTAGGCTTAAGTTATATTGCCATTATAACATAATGGAAGAGTATTTTTGTAATAAGATTGTGAATAGCATAATGAATTTTATTTTAATTGTGCAACGCACAAACCAGGGTTGAAGCTGATGAAGGTTTTTTACATATCAACCGATGCTGATTTTATGTATTTAAAAAAAACGCCAAAAATGTATAGCCTCACTGAATCTATCTACATGAAAAAGCTTTCTATTTTCTTGAGTATTGTAATAAAAGATTATTATTTCAATGATTTTTAGACATTTATTTACAAAATAATCAATCTGCATTAAAATAATTAGTCTGCCTAGGTTAATCGTTCTAGAATTTTATCAGAATTATATTTTAAAAACAACAGCTTGGCTTCTTTTTCGGCTTACAGTTTGTTTCTGGGAGGTTTGTAAATTATTCCATAGTGCCTTTTAGGTCATGTCACGACTCGAACACCCGCAACAAATATCAGCATCGATGAGTGCGAATGTGGATATTTTAGTTTATGCAGATTATCCGCGGATGTCGATGCTTATATTCGTAACAACCCTAGTACAAACTACCCTAACCCTAAACCCTAGCACAGTACATACGAAGCGAGCATTACAAAGACTGTGCGAGATCTGTTTTTTGACTCGTATCTAGTTTGTACGTTACACAAACAACATAAAGTTTATTATGCTATGGTTACATAAACTCACTTCCATTTCCTTCCGCAGTAATGTCAATTGCGCCACAGACGATTGTCGATGGAATATTAAATCGATTGTAATCACTAGCGGCATGTAAGTTGGCAACCCTTTTGCATATTGAACTATCCATTTTGCTTCACCTTTGGAAAATAAAAATCAAACAAGTGCAGTTCAAATACTTAACCTTGACAGTGTCTCACAATGAAGAAATAACAAGTGCTCTACAATTTCACCGTTAATGACCCGGCAAGCCTTATCGACTTGTGCTTAACAGCACAGTTTTTGATGAGCAATTCGTATAGTGCGAAAATATCTAAAATTTGCGGTATGGCCAAGACGGACCTATTGGCATCATAAATGTATTTTGTTTTTGTATTATTAAGCAATATGCTGTGTCGTAAATTGTATGCATTCCACTGGATACGGCGTCGTCGGAATTAGAATGCTATCTGAATGTTTAACATAAACAAACTGCACTCTGTTATATTGCTGCGTCATGTTCTAAAAGCTCATACATTATCCAGGTGTGTCTAGAAATTATTAGTTCCTTATTACTCTATTGACTGTGAAGATTGCCTAACAGGCAATCTTCTGATCTCTTTACCAAAAGACTCGCCCCACGAACAAAAATGCTATAAATCCGCTTTTTGCTTAGATACGTGTACATAACAAAGTCAAAAAGCTTTTGACAAATCTATTGCATTGAAAAAAAAAGCTGTAAGCCTCAATTTACATTGCTGCGGAACGGAATGGAAGCGAATGTTTGTAACCATTGGCATAATGAACTTTATGTCAATTGTGTAACGTATTGGCCTAGCGCTAAACAGAAACGGTTCCTGAGGTAGCTGCACGGTGCGGGAGGAGTGGCAGTTTACGTAACAGTGACGTCACGCAGCAGAATGGATAATTTCAACAAGATTTTTCTGACGACTTATCTGTTCAAACTAGATACGAGCCAAAAAGCGTGTCGCGCGACTTGCGGAGAATTCTCACACAGGCAACAGGCAAACCATAATGCTATGTGGAATTTCGTTACAAAACTTCCATTCCAGTCCGCGGTACTAGTGTAATCCCCAGTGATACTAGCATCAGGACCCCCATTAGCCAAAAGTATTACAAAGACGGTTTCTACGCCGTGGTTCCGGGAACCCATGACGTATTCAAGGCAAGGCCAAGGCTAAGAAAAGCCCCGTAAACACCCAAAAAAGATTAACAGGAAACCCTACACATCATCACAACAGTCCAAATAATGTGTGAAATACTTACTTTGTATTTCATAGTTATTTGGGAATATTTTAATTTTAAATATTAGATATTGCATGTTTACTTGTTAAGGTCGTTTTCTATAGTCAGTGATTAGATTTAAGTAATGCAGTTGAAAATAAGACACTACATTATCTCGTAATTATTATCTCGTCTTTGCCTTCATTTTGTTTGTATCCCGTGAATAATGTATGGCAATAATTTTTATAATTTAACAATATTATTATTAATAGTAAAGTTATAAGAAATTGGAAGACTGGGCCAGTTTGATGGTTATTTTGGGATTGGAGTATTTAAACATAGTGTACTATAAGGCAACCCATACGAAAGCATACAAAATAATAGCTTGTAGGCGATTTGATAGCTATGCGTTGGGTATGTAAGCAACTAGGAGAAGTAATTTTTAGCTCCATTTGTAATAATATTACATAAGAGCCTTAGCACACTGGTGATTTGTGAGCGATTTCAATGCTAGGCGAGAGCGCGGCGGGCTGACAACACCTTAAAAACGGAACTACTCATTTTAATACCAATCACCGTTGTATATGAATTCACCTAGTGGAGTCGTTGATCTCATTGGAACATTTTTGCGATTTTCATTAGAATCCAACCCTTTCCTTCATATGCATATTATACCTCCTATAATGAAGGTATATTATATCCAACGCGAGGCCATCTATAGTTCGTTTTTTTAGAATTAGAAAAACAAAGAAGCGATTGGTCGTTTCTTTAGACAACAAATTATAGGAAAGGAAAACATCGCGAGAATTAATGATAAATGACATTTACGAATAATATGGCGTTGTTTTATAAAAAAGTTTAAATATTTGGAACCTTTGTTTTTTAAGTTCTTTGTAATAGATTAAGTATGTAAAGATGGAAATTTTTAATTTAATCTTTAGTGATTACTATAATTATAAAAAAAAAACGAAATAAATAAAGAAGTTTGAGAATTTTGTTTCACGGTATTCATTAAATTACTTTGCTTACAAAGTGACTGAATTAAATGGCTCCTGATAAAAGACTCAACATTTTCTTCTGTCTAATGCCAAAAAATG